CGTTAATCGGGTAATGCATATAGCATTTTTTAAAAAAATAGTCTTGGAATTATGTATTTAATGGGGTATTTTTTTTTAAAAAAACAAAATTTTAAAAAATCGAATTGTAATTTGAACTTCAAATAAGAAGTGAAAAAAGGATTCCATCTCGCGAAATGAATATATTTAGTCAAAATGTAGTAGTGCTATAATAGTTTAAATGTAATTAATAAAAGAGAGGTCAGCAATACGAATATTCGAAAATATATGTCATAAAGAAAAAAAATCATCACCTGTTTCATATTTCATAATACAATAGCATTATTAAATAAGTGCAGCTAAAAATAGTCTGAAGTTTAATATAAAACGGCATAAATTATATTATGAATCATATAATATAAAATACAAAAAAAAAAAAAAATACACCTTTTGTTTTAATAATCAGGTAGAAGGAATGAGATCAGTTTTGTGTAATATCAACAGATTTCTTATACTTTTGAGGTTTACTACGTACGATATAAAATTTCAATTGGTTCAATTTTCTAATTTTGAACAGTGATTAAAATATTGTGATTAAGATTGTATGTAAAAACTTGAATTACATTATGAAACATTTAGTAATTCATATCCTACCTCATAATAATTCGGTTAACTCTTTATAAAAGAGCATTTAACACAAGTTATTCTTTTTGTTCACAATTAGTACCTAAATTTGATAATGATTCTCTTAACATCTCTTGAATATTGCAACCATACTATAGCCCTTTTAACTTACAAAAACACACTAATAGATTTAAACTTGATATTAAATACTGACAAGGCAAAAATTCAACAAACTGATCATACTATTTTGTAGCATACACTACCTCAAGATTATGATTATATTGTCAGTTTATTCAAAAAAATTCAAGCACATAATTTTTTGGGTGCATATACGGAACCATTTAAAGCAGAGTTTCGTATAAATATTTCTACTGCTGATAATGCCCAAGCATGGCTCGACAAGTTTTCTGATTTGCATAAGGTAACCATGCAGAAAACTCAAGGAAGGATTATAAAAGGCATCCATTACCTTCTTTCCAAACATTTTTATTGCATTTACAGCCATGCTGTAAAATTAAAACAAGGTCAAAAAGGGAAAAATAATACCGTTAACAAACTAAATGAAAGTGCTGAAATGGATAAGAAAGAGAAAACTAAAGTTAGCACACGTTTACGAGATACTAACTGCCCTGCGACACTTAAAATAAAAGTTCAAAGCAAACATGATACTCATCTATGCATAGTTTTGCTGCTATTTCATCATAACTATCCACTTGCATCAAGTCACACTATAAGCTTCCGTCCTGTATCTAGTAATACAAAAGAAATATTCTTCAAACTCTTTGATGCGGGGCATAGTTCTGCAAGTACATACAATATATACCTAGGAAATTCAGTTGAAATATGATAATGATGAGGTGATACAGGCTGATAGGGCGATATGTCTGCGTAAGCATGATATTTACAATCTTCATTGGAAGTTTCTTTACAGTTCTGTTGGTCCAAAAAATGGAAAAGAAATGTTTTTACGTTTAGCTGAGGAATTGAAAGAATTTAATGCTAGTAGTAAAGGAATTGCTTGGATACAACCCTATATTGCACTAGTAAACAATAATTTAGAACAACCATTTATATTGGCCATTGTAACAAATCTTATAAAACGCTGTCATTCACTGCAGCAGGCTGGTGAATTAATCTATGTAGATACCACATCCGGTCTTGATGCTCTCAATACCCTGTTAACTATTATTTCAACAAATACACTTATCAGTGGTTTACCTCTTGCAGTAATACTAACATTAGATGAAACTGCATCCACTCTTACAAGGGCTTTCGATGCACTAAAAACTATAATACTATCAGATACATTTGGTAGACGTGGGCCTATTGTTGGTTCACAAGTTATAATGACTGATAACTCTAGTATGGAAAGAAAAGCATTGCACTGCACTTGGGAAAAGACAACCATATTATTGTGTATTTTTCATTTTCTTCAGGCAATGTGGAAATGGCTATGAGTGGAAAAATATGATATTCACATGAATAATCGTATTGTCCTTATCGAATATCTAAAAAAAATAGTCTTTGCAAAAAATAAGGTTATACTTGAAATAGAATATATAAAACTTACAACAAGTGATACATATCTAAAATATTCTAACTTTCAGAAGCACTTTAAAATTATGTGGAATCGTCGCAAGAAATGGGCCATCTCATTTCATCAGCAATTACCAGTCCGTGATAATAATACCAACAATCTTGCTGAAGCTGAGATACGAATCATAAAGAATATTATTTTTGAGCATATACAAGCATTCAATGTGGTGCAAATTTTTCATTTCATTATTAATTCAATGGATCTATATTATACTCGCAAGTTACTAGCTATAGCCCACAATCGGTTAGATAATTTTATTGTACTATGTTTTCATCTTTCTGGCTAGCAAATTGGATCTAAAGATGATATTAAAATTGTAAATCTTGATTTGATGGTGTTCAAACATAAAAGCAATAAAAATCCAGATATGTGGTATCTGGTAGATATGAAGCTTGGAATATGCGAGTGTAATTCGACAGGAGCACCATGCAGACACCAATCTTCAATTGCAACTTATTATCACATATGCGGCTTGAACCAAATACCCATGATATCAGCAAGTAGTCGGTATCATTATGCTTATCTTGCTTTAGGTGAGAAATGTCAAGAGCTTGACTTTTATGCTGATCTTCACCAAGCACAGTTCGAACCAGAAGAACTTATACGTACTGAATCTACTGGATCTATAATGAGTATTGATAATAATTTAAATGATGATACTGTTAGCATAGATTATGAAACTGATTCAAGTGAAAAGAATATATCTGTAGATTATGAAACTGATTTTAATGATTAAAGTGAAAAGAATATACTTCCTGAAACTACATCTTTAGTATCCTCACAATTTTTAAGTAATCAAAGTATAAGTGACACTGAAGAAAATAGTCAATATGATAACAGTAGTGACGCAAGTAAAGATAATGATGACCTTCATCAATTAGCCATGGATGAATTCCATTAGTTTTGTAATGATCTTCAAAATCTCTTCGAAGAAAATGATCCTATACTAGACCAAAGCATATGCAAGTTTGTTAAAGTATACAAGCAATATCGATCCATATAAGATACTTACATCCAGCCAGCAATTTCTTCTTTTTCCAAACTTGTAATTGGAATGCAGGTCGAGTTAACAGTAAAAGTTACCAACGTGGTGGCAAAAAGATTAAAGTTCAAGTCACCGCAGCTGCTAGATGCAGAAAAGAACCAAACCATGGACTTAAAAAACTACAACAAGAAAGACCAAGTAGTAGCACATATAATAATGTATACGAAACTGAAACACAAGAAGATCCAAGCCGGTTTATTATGCCTTCACGTAAAAAATGGCAAAAAAGACAAGCACACGATTTTCAACAAGCTTTAAAAGAAAACCGACCAAATAGATGAATCAAATATAAAATTAATTATATGAAAAAATTTATGATTTAATTTCAAAGTATGCTTATATATGTTTGATAAGCTTTAAGATCCCATAAGTAATAAAGTATGCGTTTGATTCGCTTTTTTATTCATAAAAATAATAATAAAATACATAAGTTTTTAAAATTAAGTATAATAATTTTAATTTACATATGTAAAATTTTAAAGATCTGTAAAATTTTGGTATTAAAAAAAACACAAAGTGGGAAAAAAGACGGCAAAAAGTATAAAAGCAATATTCAAAAATCTTAAGACATATATTTATGTATATTTGTCATGTGGAGGCGAATGTGCATAAACTTACGTAGTAATTAGATGTTCTGCGAGCATCGTCATGTGATCGGCAAACCGAGCACAGATTACAATTTTGCATTAATTTTTCGGTAGGCCTGATGAATAGTGTATCTTGAGGAAGGTTACTAGAGAATTATCTAAAAATGGGAATAAATTTGAAATTTAATCATTTCATTTATTACATCTAAAACTTCAGTGATTACTTAATAATCAAGAGTGCATAAATAAATAAAGTGCATATTTAATCTATATTAATTAGCATTAACTATAGCAAATTTAAATAAAATCTTAGGCTAGTTATTGAAACAATTCAATTGTTCAAAGCATCTAAAAACTATTAATTTCTTTCTCAAATGTTAATATCTATAATCATCAGCACTAATTCATTATCAATTATCAACTGGTATTAGTCGTATGTCCCCTTGATTTATCATTATTTGAAGAACAGTTTGTATTATAAACAGCTTTAGCCAAACAACTATTCTTTAATATTTGTTGTTTTAAAAATTTGTCGTTAAAGCTCAAATGTAAGATAAACCTATTAGGTAATCCAGCAGGCTTTTCAATTGACCAATTTAGCTCTGGTATTTCTCCTTTCAAATATAATTCAATCTCTCGTTCGAAATTCATTAGCAAAGTATATCCGACTCCAGCATACGGTAACAATAATTTTCTAATATTTTCCCGAAATGGTGCAGTGTCATTTTTAACAACATTTAAGTTGGGAGATATTAAATTAAATATCGGTAGCTGTCTATCATGATAAAAAGTGATGAAGATATGCTTTTCAAATAGACCAGCCAATTGGTGCATTACGTCAAGAAGTGAATTTAGAAATCCATTAACATTGTCAACTACAGCTTTATTGGCGAATGTAAGTGGAGGATTATTGTAAGAAGAATCGTCATCATCATCATCATTATCGGAAACGGCTGGAATGAGAAAATATTGCATCTCTTGTTCAAGTTCTGATCGAGAAAATGGAAATATGTATGATGGAATAGTATTAGCATCTCTTATTTCCGATCCTTCAGATGATTTTTTTGACTTTTTTGATTCGAAATGTGTGTGATTTGTGGAATCATCATGATAAGCAATTTGTTCTGGCCAATGAATCATTCCGGTGCGATAATATTGAAGAATATGACGAAATAAATAGCCATCTCTATCAAAGAAAAATTCATTGCCATTTATCGGATGAAGCATTTCTTTATTTCGATCTGCGAACATAATCCCAAGAAGTGTTTCTGGATATGCCGTTAAGGTTGACCGAAATGTTTCATACTTGAAGTTTATAAGATGTTAGTATTTCGTAAACCATCAAAAAACCAAAAACCACTTTCATATTTTCGGGCATAAAACCTTACCTTAACGCCGCCAACATTCAATATAATCCGATCATCAGCATCTAATTTCTTCCCAACACCATTTTTAACGCTGATTTCCTCATTCATAAAAGTTTTTTCAAGTTGGTCTGATATTTCTTCTAACATCTTCAATTTATTATTAGCTATATACCGATAATTACAAGTAAATAGGTCTACAATGACTATCCTACCAGAATTAAAAATTGTAATTCCATATAAATTTATGCAGGAGGTGCAGATCAACTGCTCATTCGTTGTAACAGAAAGTCAAGGTAAATCCTCAGATATTTATACGTAAAAGTTATAGAACGTCATGTGAAAACTATATAGCATTAGTGATTCGAGATTCACATGACCATGACCTAATATTATTGGATAGCATGAACATTATTTAATCGTTTATTCGTATCAGGTTATATAGGTATATTATGTTTAGTCGAATAATTAATAGACTAAACTTGGAATGATTCCAATCCCTATCCGGTCTTTATTCAAAAGAACTTAACTGTGAATATCAATATTATCACTTTATCGCTATAGATCACAATAGATATACTGTATAAGCATTCGTTAATTAATACTATAACAATACGACAAAGTAACGGTAAATCCCAGACCCCATGATCTAATTAATTAATACAACTAGATTTACTTCTACCATACCGAGGTTTGATTATAATTATTAGATCGATTAATATAGAGTCTTCAAATATATATATAGATATTTTATACGTAGTTGTCATCCAGGCATGTGAAGGTATTGAAGAATAAGTGGTATTTACTACAGAATTAAGTATTATATATATAATAAATATACACTAACGCTAAGACTTAACAAAATTATCCTTTATAAATGTACTCTTTTTTGATGGATAGAGCGACTAATGCTACTTCTTTTCGTATTAGAGGAGGTTTCTTTTACGAACGATTTTCAACCATACGCTATGTACTAGATATGAACTTTGATCAACTTTTTTCAAATACTGAACAGAACATGTGCTTTAGCAAAAAATTGAAATAATTGATGCATTTTAATATACGTACGTACGTACGCACAAAAATAAATTCTCCAATCTATATTTGTGCACATTATACTTTTTTATTTTATCGGATATTTTACTGAAAAAACACGACGCTCTAAACTATTTTACAATCATTTGAAATTTGTGAAACTTAAGATTCCCCGAAAAGCATAAAAAAAGTAAAGTCTAACAAAACAGTTCCAAAAACAGTTCCAAAAGATATCACACCAAATCTGAAAAAGTAAATGAGCGTTTGTACGTAGAGTGAAAACTTGCAACAACACTTAATGAATTTACTATATATTATCAGTTACAGGTTTTCACTATGCAATCTACATTGTTACACTTCGATCATATTAAAAATTACCGGTTTTATTGAAATTGGATTCATTCTCTTCATACTTTTTGAGTACTTACACAATCGTTTCGAAAAAATGATGCCAAGTGTTAATTTTAGTTTTGATGCTTACAATGACGAGCAAGTTCGATTAATGGAAGAAATGTGTATTTTGGTTGATGATAATGATAAGAAAATTGGAGCTGATACTAAGAAAAATTGTATCCATTCCGATACTTTGTTTTAAAATTTAAATTAATTTTTATATTATGTTCTTTAACTTTCTCTAATCATAAAATATTAGGTCATGTTATGGAAAACATTAACAAAGGGCTTCTTCATCGTGCATTTTCTGTTTTTCTTTTCAATTCAGAGAACAAGCTATTATTACAACAACGTTCCGATGAAAAGATTACGTTTCCCAGTTTGTGGACAAATACCTGTTGTTCTCATCCTTTAAATACTCCTCTTGAATTGGATGAAAATGATCAAGTTGGTTAATATCAAAATCCTTATTATATATATTCATACTGTATGAAGAACGAAATTTAAGTGAATTCAAGATTTCTTTATTAAATTTAAAATTTAATAACAGAAATAAATTAAGTCAGCCTAAGTTTAGATTTTGCGTTAGGGTTATTGTTTGAGTGTGTGCTATATGAAATATTTCACTAAGAAATTTCAAATTTACTTAATTTCCGTTTTCGCTTCCATCATATACTGTATAAGCGCGAAACAATGCCTAGAGCGTTATTTCGAATTACAGCCTTAATGCGGGCCATGATCCGAAATAACGCCCTTAAGTGTTACTTCGCACTTATAAGGGTATATATATTTTCATAATTAACAGTTTTATTTATTGACAATTAAAATGCAGAATATTACAATTACTCATGCATAAATTATTTTATATTCTTCATATAATTAAATGAAAAGGTGTCCGTCGTGCGGCTCAGAGAAAATTGCAACATGAATTGGGTATTAAACCCCATCAGGCTCCCATTGATGATTTTGTATTTTTAACTAGAATCCATTATTTGGCTCCGTCTGATGGTATCTGGGGTGAACATGAAAGTTCGTTTCACTTCTAGATTATTTTCTTTATTCTTTGCAAAGCAGCATTTATTGACACAAAAGTTTAAATCTAGTTGATTATGTTCTTATCATCCGAGCTGACGTTGATACTGAGATAAATTCAAATGAAGTTAAAGCTGTCGAATATTTGTCTTTAGAAGAGTTGAGACTTAAATTTGAAAACCCTGGCGGTATGTTTCTAGTATCTTTTGATATTTAGAATTTTGCTATATCATCACTAACCATTAACCTCATATATATATATATATATATTTTAATGACTAAAGATTGGAAATTTACTCCCTGGTTTAAACTTATATCAGAAAAATTTCTTTTTACTTGGTGGAAAGATTTGGATAATATCAAGGTCAAAAAAGATGAAAAAATACATAAATTAGGATTTGACAATTTATAATTATTTTTACAGTCAACTTTTTCCGTAACGAACTGGTGGTTAGAGAAAAAAAGTACGTTAAGGAAAATTACTATGTTAAGACCAGTGTCAATTTTTATAAAATTTCAAAAGTTTGAGTTCGTTATGTCAGAGCTCGTTATAGAAAGGTTCGTTATGTCCAAGGTCGACTGTGCATACAAAATAAAATCTGTTAATTATAGATAAATTAATAGGCAAAGTATAATCTATACTATTAAAAAAAATTTTTTTTTTTTTTGTAATTTAATTGACGGTTTCAAGTACCATTATTGTAATTATCCATCACTATAAACCGATCAATATATGACCTACTTTACGGAGCATTATGATAAATTTGTCTGGAATTGTTTACAGTTAAGGGATAATATTTGTTTAGCATATGAGTGTCGCCAAAGGCAAACCAGACTTCGTGAATGTTGGGGTTTCAATTTGGAAATATAAACCCTACCAAAATCCACCAATACTCTTTTATTAACGACCCTAACTCTAACTCTAAATCGTTCCAGACTGGTCGACAAAATTAAAAAAAAAATTTTTCTATTTCAAAACTTTGCTTACGAAACTGTTCTTGGTGCTCTAAGAAAAAAAAAAAATTCTACTCATAATTTTGGTATAAGTTCCCTTTCTAACTCCTTCCAACCTAACCTAACATTGAAATCTATTTTTAATATAGGCCGATGTTGACCAGTTAGCATAACTACCACACATTTCGGTCTTGCAAATCCTGACTTAGTCCTAAAAAAAGAAGGCCCCAAAAATTTAAAAATCGTGCATAAAATAGATTCAAACTTCAGTATTTCGGCACCATCCATGATGATATTTTTATTTGCTAGACTCAGCCTTGATCAGAGGCATATATAATAGAAAATCGTACTCAATAAATGATTTCTTTATCCCAAAATAATGCCCATGCGCGTATTCTAAATAACGCGCATATATTCAAAATAACATACACATATGTCGTCAGGGTTGACGATAAATGAGTGCTGCCAAGGGGAAATGTCCCTTCGGACTTACAATTACATTTTAACCGGACACATTCTATTTAATTTATCAATTGAAAGTCCGAAGGGACATTTTCCCTTGGCAGCACTCAAATAATAAATAACTTTAAAAACCGAAGCTGGTTTTCCCTTGATGTCACTCATATAATAAGCTATATAATAAATAAAAATTTAAAATCTAAATTGGTTTTGTTATTATATATTTTTATTTAAAATATATATTAAAGTACAGTATTGTAGTTTTATTAAATTGGTCTATGAATAAATTAAATATCGGACAACAAAATATAAAATATTAATTAATTCTTTGTTCAAAATTGTTAACCTTTTATTTGTCCAACAGGCCTATTTTCGAATTTCAGTGC